TAATTTTTCGTCGTTTAAGTGGTTAACAAAATATAGGAGGGGATGGTAGTGTTATGTCCTCATATGGCTGTTAAGTACAGTTTTTTAATTAGCTTGATACACTGTCCATTCATCTAATGATCGAAAAAAATGTGAATACTGAAATAAAAATGTTCAAAGCCAGAAAGGCATTTTACCATCGTTGCTGGCCAAGAGAGTTAAGACCAAGCTTGTCAGTTATTTCAGTGGTACTCATTGCGTTTGGCAGATCTTGTTTGTTGGCAAATACTAGCAATACAGCATCACTTAATTCACCCTGAAACCAAGATAATAGTAAATTGTGTTACAGAAACTTTGGCAAAAGAATTTCTGATGTTTGATCCTTGTAATCATACTCAACAGACAACAATCACTGAGCAGCTAAAAAGGTAGTAATACCTTTTGCAACGTCAGGTGTAATTCATTCCTTGCATCATCAACTCTCTCCCTGTCATTGCTATCTATGACAAAAATAAGGCACGGAGTCTTGCGGAAATAGATGCTCCATAATGGGCGGGTCTGCATTTAAGGAAAATAACATTGGATGCATATGAAATTAAAACAAAATAGCATTTAACCTCAAAAAAAAAAAAAAAAAAAATCTATTATAATGATGTCACATGTAGCAAAAACATAATCGGATTTCACAGTACCCTGACAACAATAAATTTAAACTCTAACAAAACGTAAGCACTTCAAAGCAAAATCCATAACAGAATTCCACATATTTTTCAGATATATAAATCCCAATGTTCATATCTATTAACTGGAGAAGATACGAGGAAAAATTATGAAACAAAAGACAAAGGCACTTCAAAACATGCAGTATAGATCAAACAATTTTTCGACATCCTTCCGCCGTTACATTTTTGAGATATCCATACCTTGACTTGACCATCGTTACATTCTTGAGATACCCATGCCCTGCTTTGACCGCCGACATCCATAAAAGAGAAGTCGATGTTCTTGTATTCCACCATCTCCACATTAAATCCTGCAGCCAGTAGTTCTTTGCCAATCACTATCATACATATATAGCTGCTATATTATAGATAAAAAGACCACAAAACATCTGTTCAACCAACCCAAAGTAGCTCTAAAGAAACAACTCCTCATTAACAAAAAGGAAGGTAATTTTCCTTCACCAGTTACAGAACATGTAACATCTCAAAATGAAAGACACACCCCGGACATTCGGAGTGGAAACAAACCCTCTTAACATCACTGTTACTTTACGGGAATCGACCATTTGCAAAGTCTTTAAACTTCATGTTGCCATAACAAATACATTTACATGTGCCACTGAAAAACATAAGATATAGACCCACCTATATATATATATATTCAGAAAAATATATGCCAATTCACACATGAAGTCAATCCAATACATCCATTGGAATCCACAACTCAATTATAAACTAGATCAAAACACCTTATCGGAGGTAAATGAGAATTCACGCCAAAAGAGTCAGGCCTAAAATGCATCGATCACATTAATTAAAAAGTAGAACCAAATAATCATAATGCATACACAATGAAGGCATCTGAGAGTAAGAATGCAGAAAGTGAACTGACCGACGGTAATGTCGGTAGAGACGACCTGTCCAAGCTTAAGCTTGTACAAAATGGTGGTTTTACCGGCTGCACGGCTGCACCCAGTCCCATCATCACAATTTGTATTTCCTGCTTAGGAAAAAAAAGACCGAACAGCTTTGTGAAACTCAACCCCATCTCTGCTCTCTCTAACTAATCTGTAAACAAACCAAAATCAACAAATCTGCTTAAATATTGCAATCAACACGTCAATGGATCTATCTTCCTGTGGAAGCAACGAGTTGATGGTTAAGGAAACTGATTGTTTGACTTTATTTTGGGGGTGTAAATGAAATTTAACCTCGTAAGTTTGACCATTCCTCGAAGTTTCTTCCGACTTCGAAAAAAAAAATGTCAAACCACAACTTCAATGGCCGACCGTTTGAAATTATAAATTCCCTCCTCAACAAAGAGCTGATGAATGTAACTTGGATTAGTGAACTTCTGCAATTGTGACGGTGTTAATGAATTTTAATTTCAAACAAAATGTCTATCTGAAATGTTTGTCAGAATCAGAATCGCGGGAAAATACTTAATTGAGATTGACGGCATCTTCCAGCTGTGAGATGTCATTTTCTTATGCTTGATAAAAAATTCTAAAAATACTATATATATTAAATAATTGAAATACAATTCAGAGTTTTAATTGTATATCTGATAAATGTTTTTGTTAAGTTTCTGTTACGTTTGTACCCTTAAACCTGTTAAATATTGTTTTTGACATCTTTCTGACCTAGCTATTGATTGAGCTAACCTCTGGGGGTGTATGGTAATTGAAAATTATTTCAAATAAGCATTTTTTTTCAAAATTAAGCTTTCAATAATTTATTTTTGATAGTTTTCAACTTGTTTCCTTTGACACACAGAAATTAGCAATGGCTTGTTCGGCTTGGCTTCACTCGTCTTCTTTATCACACACTCTGCTTCCAGTTCTCTAACGCGAAACTACTATCTCCACTACTTTCCTACGGTTCAACCGTCTCTCCTCCGCTGCTCGCTTCTTCTCCTCCATTGGCCGGACCAAGCTCTGGTTCTCGCCCAGGCCAAGCGCCGCGAAGGTTCCTTATCGCTCAAAGAAGACCTAGTCTCTTCTCGTAAGCAAACCTCACTGTTCTCACTCTTAAATCTCTTTTTCTTCTTTATAGTTTTTAAGTTTAGGCTCATAATTTTCTCTTTTCTTTTCAGCGGCTGATCTTCATTTTGAACCGCCACTGAAAATTGTGAAGTATCCGGACCCGATATTGAGAGCCAGAAACAAAAGAATTGTCACGTTTGACGATAATTTGAAGAAATTAATCGATGAGATGTTCGACGTTATGTATAAGTGAGCTTTTTTCTTGTTCTCTGTTTTACACATGAGCTTGACGAATGTTTTGCTATTTATGAGTTACACTCTTAATGATATTAAATACAGTAACAATTTTACTTGTAGATATTATAAGCTTGACGTGTGAGGCTACAAGTTTTATGTTGAAGTAATGTTGTTGACCTGGTATACTAGGAAGATCCTTGTGAATGAGATAAGACTTAAAATTTTGAATTAGTGGTTTTGTAGTTCATTTGTGGCATTTTGTGTTCCTAGTTTGAATTTATTGCAACCTTTTAGCGAATATATAATGTTAAGTAATTAAGAAGATTAGCATATATGATTACAAGGAGTGAATTTTCTTTCAAATATATGCATTGCTTTCTAATCTAACTAGAGCATTATTGGAGTTAAGCCAACCATTTGGAGGAAGGATACTTGACTTCAGCTATAGCTACTGAGTTTTTGGGTAGTGGTGTTTTTAGACATTGGCTTGACTATCAAGTTTTTCAAGAAGTCCCATAGATCATGTACTAGTTCTGTTTGCTAATTGGAAGTCATATGATTCTAAGATTGAGGTGTTTCTACTGTCGGATGCTTACAAAGGTCCTGGCTATTTACAGGAGAGTGAACAATTGTTGTTGGCTTCCTTTTTAACAGAACTGATGGCACAGGGCTCTCAGCACCCCAAGTAGGAATGAATGTAGAACTTATGGTGTTTAATCCAGTGGTGAGTGTGGTGAAGGGGAGGAAATTGTTCTCATTAATCCAAGAGTTAAAAAGTATTCAAAGAAAAAGGTGCTTTTTAATGAGGGTTGCCTATCCTTTCCTGGAATCTATGCCGATGTTCAGGTATTCACAAATACTTACTTTATATGCTTACTATCTTTTTCAAGTGTTAGAACTTAGTTCTGTCTGGTCTAATCAGCAGATTGTTGGTACCTTGAACTTCCTGCTGTTTTGTTTTATTTTTTTCTCATTCCTACCTTTAATTCTCTTTTTGTTAATTTATTTTTTAAATTATTTTATTAAGGATGAATTTTGGTGAATATGAATCAATCCGAATCATAGAATGGATTGTAAATTAACACATTCTCATAACTCTCAATCAACGTCTCAGGCGTTGGATTTTGAATGTTAAATCAAATTTAGTTCTGTTTGTTGGATAGATTGATTGAAAGATGGATTTGGACGGATTTGAATTTAAGTTTTGAGACACCCTACTATTTATAAATAGATTGTGGTATTTGTTAAAATTTGGGTTCATGATAGATTTGTGATGTCTAAAGTATAGTTCCATGAACCAATTCAGTAGTTATTAGTGATCCATAACTCAATAATTAAGCTCCAGAACATATACAGTAGCACCATAATACATGAGAAATTTATTTCATAATTACATAAGTTTATAGCTAAAGTAGCAATCACACAAATCAATATTTTTATATTCCATAACCAGACAAGAGGGAAAACATCCTCTTTAGAGCTGGGATTCACAATGAAAATCTAATCGATGAATTAAAATCTTGAACTTCCTTGTGCCTGCAGAAAAGAAAAAGTTTCAAACAGAAAAGAAAAATCTTAATACATTATTATTTTTATAACATTAACAGGCTTTCTGGGGGCAATCACCTAGCGAAGATGCATTGTTATTCTGTAAATTTATGCTAAATTTCAGATCTTGTTACCTCTTCTACTTTTGTTCACGTGCTTGTTCTCCTTCTCCTAGCAATGTTGTGCAGAGCCAATCAAACCCCTCATGAAGACCCTCTCCGGAGATTGCAGATGTGCCCTGGATATGCCTGCGCTATCAACATCATGTCAATATAATGTTTATAAATCCCAAACAAATCTCTTTAAATTTCTTATATAACGAATTCCAATCATCTCAATTCTATTTCAGTACTACAGAATTTTTTGTCGTTTAAGTGGTTAACAAAAGATAGAAGGGCATGGTAGTGTTAAGTCCTCATATGGCTGTTAAATACAGTTTTCTAATTACCTTGACACGCTGTCCATTCATCTAACTGATTGAAAAAAATATGAATACTGAAATAAAAATGTTCAAAGCCAGAAAGGCATTTTACCATCTTCGCTGGCCAAGAGAGTGAAGACCAAGCTTGTTAGTTATTTCTGCGGTATTCATTGCATTTGGAAGATCTTGTTTGTTGGCAAATACTAGCAATAAAGCATCTCTTAATTCATCCTGAAACCAAGATGATAATAGATTGTGTTATAGAAACTTTGGCAAAAGAATTTCTGATGTTTGATCCTTGTAATCATACTCAACAATCACTGAGCAGCTAGATAGGTGGGAGCTTATGGACACTAAAAAATAGTAACATTAAAGTATCAATTATCCGAAGTAATAATAATTAAAATGTGGAGCAGTAAGAATTCTATAACAAAACAAGAAGAAAGTAACAAGCAAAAAACTAGAACAGTCAGAAAGATAAGAAAATGGTTGAATACCTCTTGCAACATCAGTTGTAATTCATTCCTTGCATCATCAACTCTATCCCTGTCATTGCTATCTATGACAAAAATAAGGCACCGAGCATTTTGGAAATAGTGCCTCCATAAAGGGCGGGTCTGCATTTGAAGGAAATAACATTGGTTGCATATTTAATTAAAACAAAATAGCATACCCGAAAAAAATCTATTATAATGATGTCACGTGTAGCAAAAACACTTGGATTTCACAGTACCCTGACAACAATCAATGTAAACTATAACAAAACGTAAGCACTTCAAAACAACATCCATAACAGAATTCCACATATTTTTCAGATATATAAATCCCAGTGTTCATATCCATGAACTGGAGAAGATATGAGGCAAAATTACGAAACAAAGACATAAGCACTTCAAAACATGCAGTATAGATCAAACTAGTTTTGACAACCTTCCACCATTACATTTTTGAAATATCCATACCTTGCCTTGACCACCAACATCCATAACAGAGAAGTTGATGTTCATGTATTCCACCATCTCCACATTAAATCCTGCAGCCAATAGTTCTTTGCCAATCACTATCATACATATATAGCTGCTATATTATAGATAAAAAGATCACCAAACATCAGTTCAACCAACCCAAAGGAACAACTCCTCATTAACAAAAAGGAAGCTAGTTTCCTTTCCCCAATCACAGGAGTCAGGAAATGTAACATCTCAAAATGAAAAACACACCCGGGACATTCTTAACATCACTGTTACTTTACGGGAATCGGCTATTTGCAAAGTCTTTAAACTTCATGATGCCATAACAAGTTTAAATACATTTACATGTGCCACAGAAAAACATAGATATAGACCCACCTACATATATATTTATATATTCAGAAGTAAATATGCTAAGTTACACATGAAGTCTGTCCAATACATCCATTGAAATCCACAACTCAATTATAAACAAGAGCAAATTCCCATAAACACTTCGCTAAGAGAAATGAGAACATAATCAAGATATTAAATAACCACAAAAAAAGAAAAAGAAAAAGAAAACTTCATTCTATTAGTTTTGCTAAGAAACCAGCAAACATCATTAGTTCTGACTTCTTTTTTTTTTTTTTTTTTTTTTTTTTCAAAAGTCTCTATGTACGAAAAATCTGTCATATACCTCCCTTACAAACAAAGGAGATCCCTCTGCAAGGAAAGGTCTATGTGCTAAATTCCTAACAAAAAATGTACCCCTGTCACTAGACCAAAACAGCTTATGGGAGGTAAATGAAAATTCACCCCAAAAGAGTCAGGCGTAAAAGGCATTGATCACATTAATTAATAAGTAGAACCAAATAATCATAATGCATACACAAAGAAGGCATCTGAGAGTAAGAATGTAGAAAGTGAACTGACCGACGGTAACGACGGTAGAGACGACCTGTCCAAGCTTAAGCTTGTACAAAATGGTGGTTTTACCGGCTGCATCCAGTCCCATCATCACAATTCGTATCTCCTGCTTAGGAAAAAAACTACCGAACAGCTTTGTGAAACTCAGCCCCATCTCTGCTCTCTCTAACTAATCTGTAAACAAACCTGCTTAAATACTGCAATCAGCACGTCAATGGATCTGTCTTCCTGTGGAAGCAACGAGTTGAAGGTTAAGGAAACTGATTGTTTGACCTTATTTTGGGGGTGTAAATGAAATTTAACATCGTAAGCGGACCATTCCTCGAAGTTTCTTCCGACTTTGAAAAAAAAAATGTCAAACCACATCTTCAATGGCCGAGCGTTTGAAATTATAAATTCCCTCCTAAACAAACAGCTGTGAATGTAACTTAAATTTTTTTTAAAGGAAACTTGGATTAGTGAACTTCCGCAATTGTAACGGTGTTAATGAATTTTAATTTCAAACAAAATGTCTTTCTGAAAGGCTAGTCAGAATCACGGGAGAATACATAATCGAGATTGACGGCATCTTCCAGCCGTGAGATGTCATTTTCTTATGCTTGATTAAAAATTAATTTTTTATAATGACTACTTCAATATTTTCTCAGAAATATATATATATATATTTATAAAATTCAGATTTTTAATTGTATATCTGATAAATGTTTTTGTTAAGTTTATGTTACGTTTGTACCCTTAAATCGGTTAACAATAATGCTACGAACACCGAAGACTTGCATAAAAATTTTGCACTGAATGACGTGTTAACTGAGTAGACGCAGCCATATAACATATTAACAAATATTCTGCGAATAACCATCGTCCATCAAATATGGACGAGCATTTGTGATTATTAGATGACCGTTCATTTTACATAGACTCTCGTTCATGAGAAAATAACAATAGACTCTCGTCTGTATTATATGGATGAGAGTCCATTTACTATGGACAAGCGTCCACCTAGAATGGATGTCTGTCCATAATTTAAATTAAAAAAATTTGAAAACAAAAATCATGGACGCCGGTCCATATATTATGGACGGGCGTCCCTACCCCATGGGGACGCCGTATATTACCATACGGAATTAAATTTTGTAATATAATAATGGACGCCCGTCCATATTACGGATGGGTGTCCATATTTTTTCACTTAACATGTAAATTTTCACTTAACATGTCTGAATCATTTTCTAAACCCGCTAATTTAATTTTAGAATCAAATATGAAAGTAAACAAAAAAGAAAAGGAAGGGTTCTAATATTTTTTTAATTTAATTCCATTGCTCTATTGGTCCGCTAAAATTTCATTGTTTTTGTTTTTTTTTTTTAAATAATCTGAAGTTTTTATAATTGTATGTATTACCAATGGACTAGTAGGATAATGTATACTAGAAAGTTTTAAAGTTATTGATAAAAAATTTTAAGAAAAGAATTAATTTTTGAGTTATATGTCAATCACTGTCTACCAAATAATGAAGACCTCTATTATTTGCTACAAAATAACTAATTAAATTTGCATAAGGTAAACAAGAATTAAACATTAAATAAGTACTATTTCATTTAACAGGAATGTCTAATACAAAAATTCTGTGAGACATATTTGATTTTATACAAGTATCTTGAAATTCAACATTTCTTCTATTACTACTAGTAATCTAAGCTAAAGAATCTCTAATTCTATCAATATTATTTCTAATTTTTTTCATACCATTTTTCACAATTAAATTAATAATGTGACATATACAACGTTGGTGAAAAAACTTCAAATTGTCATAAAAAATAAAGTTTATTTTAAAAAAAATCTATAACTTTACTATTAGTATTTGCATTATCTAAAGTTAAACTTATCACTTTGTGAACAACATCATAATCTTCTAAAACTTCAACAATTTTATTATAAATTTGTTGACCACTATGATCCACATCCATTAATCTAAATCTCAATAAAGATTTATTTAATTTACATTCGTTATCAAAATAATGACTAGTTACACAAATATAATCTTGTTTAGCTCTACTACTCTATATATCGGCGGTCAGAGCCACACTAACATGACAACTATGTATTTTATTTCTTAATTCTAATTTCATTTTCCCAAACAATTTTATTTATTCATTTCTAGTTGCAGTTTTAGAATAACTTTTAAATTCTGGAAAAAATAAATTTTTAATAAATCTTTCAAAATATTTATCTTCAGCCATATTAATAGGTTAATTAGTTGCAGCAATATATAAAGCTAATTGTTCCATATATACATAAGAATTATAACACCAAGTAGTATCCATATTAGTTATTTGAGTTTGATTAGTTTCTCTATTTCCATGTTGATTCATATGTTTATTAGCATGCATTTTTAAAGTACTAGTACCATTACCTGCATCAGCTTTATAAATATTTCCACAATACTTGCATCATGTTTTCTTCACTTGAACTCTATTTTCTATCTCGTAAAATGTTTTGAAATGCACCCAAACGTTTGATGTGTGCCTGTTGTCGTTCCAACTGTAGTTGATGAACTCACTTCTGCTTGAGATGAAGTTGGATGAGGACGACTTCTAGAACCACCGAGAGCTGTAGCAGTATAGGAAAGAAGGGGCCGCCGGGGTGGGTGAGATATTATGAGGTGTATTAGATTTTGAGAATAGGAAAGCGGGACTATTTGAATCTACTGCATTTACGAAAGTCAATTCAAGGGGACTAGGATAATTTTCTTCATCATTGAAATTGATGGGATGGAAATATCTATCCATTTTAGTTAAAAAAAAAATTGGATATAGAAGAAATAAAAAATTAAAGAAGGAGAATTGGAATTTGGAAATATGAATTGAAAACTGCAAAAACTAATAAAAATTAAAATGAGAGCAAATTGACAACAAAGAGATTGAGAGATTCCAATAGAGAGAATGAGAGAATTTGGGGTGTGAGGAAATATGAGAGTTTATGCCCTATTTATAGAAAAAAAAAAAAAAAAGGGGAAAAGAAAATGACTTAAAAGATCCCTTCAACTGCTATAAAACGGCTATATTTCAATGGTAAAATGGGTTTTTGCAAAAAAAATAATTTATTTCATTTTTTTTGTCCAACCCTCCAGGTTGGCAGTTGCCAATCTGTGGGTCAACCCGGAAAGTTGAAAACCCCCAACTCAATGGGTTGGACGGGTTTTTTTTTTTTTTTAAAAAAATAATAATAATATAACCCACCGGGTTGCCGAGTTGGCCTATGAAGGCCTTATACTTGGGCCGGGCTGAACTTGGCCTACCCTTTAGGCGGGCCGAGTTGAACCCGGGTTGAGGTAGGCTGGGTTAGGGTTGACTTGCATAACCTGACCTGTTTGTTCCACCTCTAATTATTAATGAGTTATGCTACTTTTTAGGAAAATGATCATTAGTAAAGCGAGAAAAAGAATAGTTTCTTTCATCTACTTCCGTGGTTGATGCCCTCCCATATGATTATGTCAATATTGTTGAAAGTATACCAAAAACTCAAGTGTTGTCGAATGATGTTGTTGCTATCCATGTATGTGTTATGCATGTTGTATAATTGTAACTGGCTTAAGTTTTCTATAACGTGTGCTAAATTGTGGTTGTTAAACATTGATAGTTGTTCATTGGGCCGGTTCAGAATCTCGCAGGAAAAAGTAATTTCTGTATTGGACAAGAGTCTGTAAATGATGAACATGTTTCGTTGGGAGAGATTTGATGTTGTTGGTAGGTTGAAGCATATAGAATTGTATTTGGTAGAACTTATTTGCGCTTTCGTTAATTTCTAACGAATGCGGTTGAGTTGTATATTGATTCAGTTGTTTTGTTTCTATTATTTTGGTCATTGGTTGTGTACGAGTAGGCAATCTTTTGTAGGGTTGTGAATTCATGATAATGAACTTAACGTAACTTATTATGAATGTTTTCAATATATATTATCATCACATTGCAGACTATTTGTTAACCGGTTGTAGATGTAATTTTGGATATCGATTTAATTTGAGATTTGAATTTTGATACGTCTTTTGGTATGTCTAGTATTACATATACATATACATTCAAAAGAGTAGTTGAAATATGTATAAACAAAAGGCAAATATATTTATAAACAAAGGCAATCTTTATCAAGAACATATTGTGAAATCAATCTTTAACAATTAACATATTTATAAACAAAAGACAAATATAATCTTCATACATAAAGCTTAGTATTTGAACTACACATAATGACAATTAACATTCATAATGCGTTCTCCAAGGATGTTGAGAAGGAGGAGGCTGTTGAGAAATTCTTCATCATGGTGCAGGAGGTGGAGGTTGACTGGAGGAGGAGGGGCCTGTTGAGAAGTTCTTCATCATGCTGAAAATTGCTGTCAACCGTTTCTTCTATTCTTGATGCGAACGAGTTGAAATCACTTTGCAACTGATCTCGTTATTCCTGCATTTTCCTCTAAATATGTGAAAAACGCTTCTCTTTATAATGTTTCATCCACTCAAATCTGCTTACTATGTCGTCTACAGTATGAGAAGACATATCTTGTACATTCTGAGATGATCCAAGTTCAATACTTGTTCTTCTTCTTTTGTGCACATAAAGTTGTCCTTCATTTACCCCTTCTGGAACAGTGACACCAACCTGAACCGTTGCATCTTCCTCTATTTCATCCCTAATCACAAACCATTCTCCTGCCATATTCTTTTTAATCAAACCCATTTTACACAATGTCACATCCCACAACAAATTATTTTAAGAAAAACTTAATCTTATTTGCTTCATCATTAAGGGTGATTTGAGTACCTAACTTCTCACATATTAACGTAACAAGCATCCCCTAATATATTTCTCCTTTTTCTGCTTGAACCTCTTCCAACTTCTTAATCAATAACTTTGCTGAATTTACTTGCCTCCCAGCTATTGTTGCTTCTATGAACAATAAATCATTAACCGTCACATTTCCATTTGTCTATTTTCAAATGTGTAAGTCAGATATCTATGAAATACTCTTATAATAGGATTCTTTAACTTTGTAGATTTACACCTATGTGGATGGTAATTCCCTATTCCAAAAACATCCGTTCAAGCTTGTTTGGAATCCCACGTTCTAGATACGTTATCTAAACCTTCAAAATCAAA